CAGCTACAGATTAAGGGGCGTATTTTTGACTTCTTAAAACACAGCATGATAAACTGAAACGCCTGTAAAGAACCTGCTATGGTCTGGTAGATTCACACAGTGACCTGAATTATTTTCAGCATTAACCTGTGTTATCACAGTGGAATTATTGGGGTGAGAATGAGTTCACACTCCTGGTTGCCTTTGTTTCCAATGGTCATTGATATGAAAAGCCATCCTGCATCTGCTGTGAAAATAAATAGTGTGATGATTGTATTTGGCATTTTAAAGGTATCTAAATAGGTATTTCCCCTAATAGACAGAATCAAAGTCTAAATTCTAGACACTCCATTTCACTGGCTTGGTCAAACAGCAAGTTTGGTGTGTCTGAAACCTTATCTATTATTTTTTATTATATCAGCTCATCTAAGACAAATCTCTCTATGAATCCCTCAGTTCTCTCTAATATTTTTAGACTATCACAGATATAACTCTGTACTTCTTGTCTTTTCAACTAATATACTCCTCTCATTTAAAATAAACCTAAATAAATAATTGAAAAGAATCTGCTCTTGTTATGCTAATAGACCACATTCTGAGCTTGTCAACAATTTGGCATAAACTGAATTACAGAAAAGTTATGTCAAAGAGGGGTAGCAAGTGTTCTAAACCAAGCTTGAGCCAGCAAAGCCAGTAAATGCTGAAAATCTTATTAACAGCAAGGGTAGGTGAAAGGGTGGGCTTTAACTTCCTCATGTTAACCGGGAGATGTCTTTCATATTTAGTGACGGCAACTCACACCATTAAAGTGATGGCAAGAAATGCATTAGATACCTTACCAGAGTTCATTGCTGTAGAGGGTAGGAAGCTGAGATTGACAAGCACATATGTTACGTGAAAGCCAGGTATTGCCATTAATGGGTTTGCACCATCATAGATTTTTGAGTTTGGGAGTCACTTTTCCTGCAAATATTCATTTGGCTTTAAATACAGCCAGACATATTGTGCTTTTCTGATTTCCTAGTCTGCGTCCCATCATAAGAACCGCAGCAAAACCTCGTTCTAAATAGAGACATTTAAGACATCACTGAATCTCTACCTCTGCTCAGAAAATGTCACTGTGTCCTCAGATGTTTGTTTCTGCAGTGAGTGGACATGGTTGTACAAGGCAGAGCTCCCAGGTTCTCTCAATCACATCTATCTCCTTCTACATCAGATTATTTCTGCCAAGCTGGTTATATTTTTTCCCAAGCAAACCCTAACTATCAGGGAAGTCTAACACATTGCTCCTTTACCATCAGCTTTGTTTTCAGACATACAATGGTTTGGCATGACTCCAATCACCACCAGGTGATTTTTGGCCCTTGCCCTTTTTATTATCTGGTATCTCTTAGGGAACCACAGATGAAACCAATAGAAAAGGAGAGAAAAAGAAAAAGCAGGAAAAAAGAGCAAGCTTCTCCTTCGCTTTCCTGGTAAAGTGACATCTTGCCCTCTTGCATTGTATATTTTTGTCCAGCTGATGCTTTGTCCTACTGGAATCGCGGTTCTAGTATTAGCTCCAAATGGTAGGCAGGCATTTTCATTAAAAACAATTACTATTTCCAAACAGGAGCTGGTTCCTCAGTTCCAGCCATTCTTGCTGTAAAATGTTCAGCTGAGAGGAGCAGATTGTTCCTGCTGAAAATGAATGGAATCTGGCAGGAAAACCTCATGTTTTTCCAATCCTAGTTTTTTACAAAGAAAACACTGGGATCTTGTTGAAAAATTGCAATTGTTTTGGTGGGCACATTATTTTTCTCAGTTGAGCTCTTTCCAGCTACAGGAGACAACTTTTGTGTATACATATGTGTGCGTGTGAATATAGATCCATGTATCTACACATACACACAAGCTTTTGTATATAATTGCTATGCAGAAAAATTATTAATGAGTCAAGGAAGAGTAAACACATTTTTGTTATTAAAAAGCATTTATGCAAATTGATTTTTCGAAACAGCTTCCACATTATGAACCTTCAAAAGAAAGTCAATGAGTAAAATACTATATCATAATAACAGCTAGCCCCACTTTTAATAGTAGGAGAAGAAAGAGGCCAAGGTGACTGAACTGTTTATCCTTTGGTTGTTCTCCCTAACTTAAAAACATTGTCAGACTGAATTACCCTGATAAAAATATCAAAGGAGAGAAAACAGAAGACACTATTACACTCATGAAAGGAACAAGCTGCAGAGGTCCCCATATTGATCACCCATATGGATGCTGCCATTTGGTAGTAAGTGATTTTGCGTACCTCAGACAGAAATAGATAATAGGGCAGGCTGACCTTGCATCCATATGGGGTGGAACACCTCCTTCCACTAGTTGCTATTTTGTCTTCCATATGAGCTATTCGTCCCAGACGGCAAGTGAGGTGGGAGGCTGGTGTGTCTTGGGCATGCTGCACCTTGAGAGTTTAAGGGCACGCCCCAGGCAAAGTTCAGCCTCCATGTTAGCAATAGTACCCTGCAGCCTTCAAGTCCACCTCCTCTGACCCTCTGCTCCAACAAACAGGCAGGATCCAGACACTTTAGCTGTGGCATATCCATCCAACCTTCAAGACAACTCAACTGCCTTGACCTGCATCTAACAATCAAATTGGGCAGGAAAGGGACAGCAATAAAGCTTTCTCTACCAAAAATATGCAGCAACCTAGTATGGTAGCACAGACCAGCGCAAAAACTGATCACATCAAAAGATGGGCTGCCCAGCCCTCTGATGCACTTTAATCACAGCTGCACAACTGTAACAAGTAATGCAAAACAACCCCCTTGAATTACTCAAGGCTGAGAAGTTGAGTCCCCAGTGAAGCCATCTGTAAGTCACCTATTTCCACTAGCCTTTTGGGCCACCTTTTGACCCAGCAGCAATAAGTGAGAAAGGAAATTATAACGGAAAGGATGACAGTGTTACAGCAACTGCTCGTTTTCAGAGTGATCGCCTGACAGAAAAAGGAAAAATGAGAAGCATTTCCCTTTTCTGTTATTGCCCAGCTAATAGAATTTCTTGTCTCCTTTTCAGTTGTTCTTACCCTGAATTTCTAATAACAAAATTAGGCAAGTTTACAGCCAAAAAGAGCCTTAAGAGATCTGCTGGCCCAGCTCCTTGCAGCTGGGCAGGATCAGCTACACCTAGACCTTCTCTGATGCTTAGCCATTCAACTTGGACTTGAAAACCATCACTGAAGAGTCAAAAACATCCCTTGTGAGTTTGCTCTTTCAGTTGTTTGTCTGGGAAATTAGCCTGCAGATCTACCCACTCTGCACAAAAGCTGCAACAAAACAAGGTGTAGCATCACTCCTGCCCCCTCTGCCACCTTCTGTCCTCAGCAAATCGCTCTGTTGAAGCCCTAAGTCTTTCCTGGGTACACAGGGGTCAGCAGCTTCACACTGTAAGGCTGTGGTGCACTCACCATCATCCCAACCCTAAGATCCCGGCTGCCTTGAACTGCACGAGGGCTGCAGTTCCATTGCTCTCATAGGATACAGGACTTCACAGTCAGAATCTGAATGGCACAAAGTACATTGAACAAGTTGACTCTTCATTTCTAAACATAATTTAAAATCAGACATTAAATATACTTAATAAGGTGTCAGCAGGCTTCCCACGAGGATCTAGCTGTTAAGTCTTTATTGTTGTGTTTGCTTTGAAGTCAAGAGGAAAAAAAATCTTGTTTGCCAACTTATAATTCAAAAAATGCCAGAAGAACCTTCTTGCAAACAAACAAGATGCAAAAGAAACGCTGGCACCAAAGTGGCACAGTCTGTGAATTATGGAGTTATGGAATAATTTCAAAAGTAAACTGTAGGATGCATAAATGTTCACATAATTCTTTCTGTAAATAAGGTTAGAATTCTTCCACAGACAAGGAGACACAGATCCTAGGTACCCAATGCTGTTTGTGGTCAGCAATCTAGGACTGTTCACTTTGTACATAGGTATGCGGCACACAGCAAAAGATGCCGCTCAAGTGTGGAAGCACTATATAATAAAAAATTAAGGGAAGCCTTCTCTTTTTGTAAAGCACAGCTGAGCACAAAGTCCTGCACCTCACACTGTATAACAAAACCACTTCCATCACTTGAAAATCAAGAAGCCTGCCTTTGTCATCCATCTGCACGTGTAAGAGATCCAGAGCGTGTATTGCCCAAATGAATCAGTTTCTTGTGAAGTAAATTAAAGCTCTGATCCCTGCTGAAGGAGTCCTTTGGTGTTGTTCCAGCATCTTCTTGATACTTTCTGTTTCTTTTGGGTTTGTCTGATTTATACCATTCTCCAAAGATTTAGCCCAGCAGCATCCATTTTAGAGAAAACCAAAATATGGCAGGGACACTAAAATGGCAGACAGCAAATACCAACCTATCAGTTCGGTTAGAACCATCACCAGAGCATTCACCAGCACCGAAAGCCATACCTAAACCCAGCTATGCCCACTAGGGCCTTGCACATACTTGTGGAAAACACCTCACTGTAAGTGCTGCTCCTGTTTTCATTGGATGTACGAAACCACATTTTTCTGCAAGCACCTTGTAAGTCTGAGGGTGGCTTTTAAATGTAAATGTGGAAAGCCAGCATCAAAGGTCTGAAATGTCATTTTGGAGCACTACCAAAACCAAGCAGACCATAAAAGCTACGTTAAGATTAAAAGAGCTTTATATGGCCTTTGCTTGAGAAGTACCTCACACCCTCTGAAGGTGCACTAAGCCCACAGCTCAAGAACATATCACTGGCTGACAACCCATCCCACAAGCAGACCTCACAGCAACAGCCTCACAGCCTCAGCCTGTGGCAGCAATTCTGGGAACACCAGGACTATCAGGGAAGGAACACAAAGAAAAGCTTTTCTAACATGAATGTAAGCCCCAGAAATCAAAGTTCTTCACTTATCCTTAGGAATAAGATTTGGTTCAGGGAAGCTATTGCACCCCATATAGCACCCTATCCTTCTAAGGTTCTTCCTGAGAATAATTAGACCATTGTACCTTCACTTCATGGGCACACAGCTCTGGCACGTAGTGCCCTTTAGCCACATCAAGCATATGAAGGAGCCACACTCTTCTAATGACCTAAACTGTGTGCACATGGCCTTTTCCTGACCCAGGGTTTAACACTCACACCCAACTGTTTACCTCCTGTTTTTTGCTTTACCCTGATGAGGGCTACATAGCATCTGTGAGCATCCCCAATTCACTTGAGGTCAAATATCCCATCTGAAAGCACAATTTCTAGTTGTATAAACTAACCTGGCTAATTTTCCCTTAATCAATTTAAAGAGTCAGGAAGAAGCAACCTTTGAGAAGAAGGACAGTAATTTCTTCTATTGGCACACTAGATTCAAAGGAAAATAAACCCTCTTTGGCCATAAAGGTGAAAAATCTGTGGCCATAAAGGAGAAAGATCTGCAAACCCATGGAGAATTTCCACCCCCTGAGTGGAAGCCTATTTTTACTGCATATCTCCAATCCAAAGCTTGAATGGAAAATAGACATCACCAGTCCTGACCCCACTGAAGTCAAAGGCAGCTTTGTCATTGACTTTAACGAAACTAGGATTCACCCCAGGGTAAGGGGCATTGTGTTTTTCAGCAGCCACCCATGTGGAAAGTTTGCTTAGATGACTGCCTGCCTGGAAGGTAGCAGTGCTAAGCCACAAAACACCAGAAACGTTTGTGTTAACCCACATGCTCCAGCATTTGAAAGTGCAGCTATCAGAGTACACCCTTGTCCTCTAGAAAGCATGTGTTCCTATACCCTTGGCTTCTTTACTCCACCTGACGTTGGTGGTGCACCTGATGTACCTAACCTGTTGTTCAGCTGTGCTACTGGCTCTGACTGTTTATCAGGAAACATCAGAGAGGTTTTTATGCTCTCACATTGTAAATAATGTGACAGACCTTGAAAATATAATATGTCTTTTTATAGCTACTGTACGCATTGTGAATGAAAACAGCTCCTGAAAATAGAGTTGAAAATAGGCTATTACATTCATGCTTCATGTTCACTCAAATTCTGATTAAAAAAATCCAGTTACAATGTATGTTTCAGAGCATAGGGAAATGGATAAAAATACAGGAAGCGGGAATCTAAAAATGAATCCAAAAGCATATGTAGGAAATTCCTAAACTTATTTTAGGAATTTATCTGGTACTTATTGCAGCACAATAAAGCTTGGGCTTAGCAGGGCTGGTTTTACCTGCTTAATTAGACAGGGTCTCAGCAAACAAAGGAACAAATACTGAGATACAGAAGCAAAGCATCAGAAAATTGAGAAGGGTTGTGAAAAATCAGGGAAAAACAGAGAAATTTCAGGCTTTGCATCTTGGGCTTCTTTCTAGTTCAGAAGCATCGATGAAAACTTGAACTTGAAAGAAGGGTTGCTTCTTTCCGTTTCTTCAGTCTAGAAATTAAAGCAGGTGTCTATCCACAAGAAAAAAGGTGCCTTATGAGATTTCCACCATTTTCTGCTTCTCCCATTTGCAGTGGGTTCCGTCAAAGCTCTCCTGTGCTTCCACTTTTAGGCCAAGCCACAGCAAGGCAGTTCAGCCACCTGAAGAATTAAATCCACTGTAGCAGCTAGAGGAGAGCAGCCCACTCCACATAAGATGCTAAATTTTATGGTTCTGAAGTGAGCCAAAAAGGAGTTTGGGGATAGGAAATGAGTCAACCTCGTTTGCTGCATCTGCCTGCAGGCACTGATCTGAAGGGCTGAATTTATGGCTGTGATTGCCCCTGTGCAAAGGAAGATAAACTTTCCTCAGCTATGCACAGAGCATTCACAGGCTTACCCATTGGAACTATCACTGACACCAAGTATTCCAGCGCCTTGCCCTCCTCCAGCATCATCCATGAGGGAGTCTCAGTGAAGGGATGGAGAATGACTTGATGCCTTTTCAAATAGCAAAATGTTATTCTCACTTTACAGATGGGAGGCTGAGGCTGAAGGAGCCTGTGTGACTTTGGCCCACACAACAGGGCCAGAAGTAACCTCAGATTTCCTGAACACCATTCCTGAAGCACAGGAAGAGCCACTTGGCTCCTTCAACTTTCCTCACCCCCACAAAGAATTCTACCATCGCTATGCAAATCAGGGAAGCTATTCCCATAGATCCCTATCCCCACTTACAAACTGCCTCTCTTTGAGGTATTTCTTAATTCCATCCTCCCTCTTTGGCTGCCAAAAAGCTTTCTAGCTCAATATCAGTGCCTTAAAGAGCAACCACAAAATCCTGCAGTACAGCAGAGCAGAGGTTATATAGCCAAGACAACTGCTATTTTCATCAATTCTTCAGCAAACCAGCTGATCATAAAAGCTATTCTTGACTAGCCTGCCTTTGTAACACCAGCACATACTATTGGCTGTGGCCCTCACTAAAAATACACTGCACTCTTGCACAACAACAAAAACTCCCACCAGGGCCAATGGACAGCAGACTAAAAACAGTAACCAAAGGCTTTAAATTGCACAAATTACAAAGGTAGAAGGACTGAAAGCAGCATGCTGCTAAAAGCCATCTGCCATCTTGGCCCGCCCATGTGTCCCTTCTCCCCAGCAGTGTTTTATATTAGTAATGATGTCTCTGTATTATGTATGACAGAGTCTCTGCTGCTTTGAGCAGCAGTAATATAGATGCTCCTTCAGTCTGGTGCTTTGCATATACACCCTAGCTGAGGGAGCAGAAGATCTGCCTTCTAGCCTCTCCGGCTGGATATAGTTCAGTTGGAAGGCAATATTCACATGCATATATTCTCCAAATCATGCTGCATTATCAGGACTCCCATGCACATCAATAATACACAAAAATACACAGAAATAAACACAGATTCAGCCATGGTGTGGACTAGAAAGAGTGGACAACATAGAAATACAGGAAGAAAAGCAGCAAATTATGGGCTTGTTTACCCAGGATATAGAACATGGTTTCTTTTTTTAGTGATTAATTTTATCAACAGGTTAATGACTTTCCTATCACTGAAACTATCACTTATGAGGGTCTTTGAAGTTTCAAACGAGTATGGAAGGAAGAAGATGAAGCCAGCTATTGGGATAGTTCTGTACAGAGAACAGAGCAATACCTGAGATAACTCTGTGATGAAGCACAGGGGCAGGAAACCGCCTTACCAGGTTAGCACACCCTGTGAAGAGAAAAAGGGAGAGAGAGAGAATTTGTTAGCCCAGGAAAGGCAACATCTCCATCGATGACAGCATTCAAGGCCAGGTTGAACAGGGTTTGGAGCAGCCTGGTGTGGTGGAAGGTGTCCCTGCCCATGGCAGGGGGGTTGGAACTGGATGACCTTAAGGTCTTTTCCAACCCAAACCATTCTATGAATCTACCTGTAAAAACTGCTTTCACTGCCTGAGCTACCAGGCTAACTCAGGTGTCTTCCTGCAGCCCTGCAAATAACACCCAAGCCAACATCCTGTCCTGAGAAAAAACAGTGACCAGGGACCAGAGAAAAGACAGGGGGAAAGGTGAGAACAACACATGTGAATAGGTAGACTGTATCACAAATCAGAAACCATAGCTTATCAGGAGCAGGTTCAAGTGAAATGACTACTTTTGCACCTAACCTCCGAAACAGCTGGAGGGAAATGAAATGGATTATTGGAAAGTTGGTGGAAAAGTTTATTTGCTAATCATACAAGTTCATTTGTTCAGGGCATTTTGCAAAATACCTTGCATAACCCACTTTCAGCTGATGCACATTGAAAGTCTGCAAATACAACATGGTTAACTAGGGTTCAGGGAGTGCTCTCACCATTTACAGTGCTTGCAGCACCCCGTTACCACATGACTACAGATGTTAGTTCGTTGACCCCCAACTATGTGCTCACAGAGATCTCCCCCTGCTCCAGTTACTTCCTAAGTTTTCCCAGGGGCATTTGAAGAGACCCTGACAGGCATCTAAGTAGCTGGGAGGTTGTGCAAAGGACGTCCCATCACCACAGTTCTGCCCTCCTCAGGAGACAGGTTGAAGGCCCAGGATATAAGAGGAGGTACCCAGGGTGAAGTCAGAGGGGATTAGGGAGCTGCATAGCACATAGAAGAGATGGAAAAATATAAAAGCAAAGGAAGGAAGAGACAGGGAAACCATGCAGAGAGAAAGGTGGAGAGAGGGGAACTAGCAGAGAAGGAGAAAAACAGAAAACCAAAAACTGACAGGTAAGTTAGATGTAACTGTGGGTAACCAGCAGGTTATGGAAGAACAAAGCCTGCAAATAACAAGAGGAAGAGATGGCCCCATGGAATCGTGAAGCCCATGAAGATCAGGAGAGTCGAATGAGCTCTTCAGGTTCAGAAAGACAGCAGCAAAGGGTATGTAGTATATTTCTTTTCCTTTCTCCCTGTTAGAGCCTTTGTCACTGTTAGAACAGGCAGATGATAGCACACGAGAATTGTTCCACAGCTGAGCTGGAGATTCCAAGCCAGTGCAATCTGTATTTCAGAACAGGACATTATATCTCAGCAGACATTCTGATTTCCAGAGGTCCCGAGATCCCAATCGTAACTCTTACAGCTATCAAAGGCACCTGCTTTCCAAGGAAAAGCTGTCCTGCATCACTCTGTCTGAAAGAATAACTTTCAGACTGGATTTTTATTCATTAATTGGATGCATTAGGCCTCAGCTTGAAGGACTGCTAGACAAGAACAGCTATTTGGCCAGCACACAGTATGGGAAGAAGGAGCAGTGAATCTGTTCTTGGAGGTAACATGCTCCAGGTATTTTCCCAGGCAAGCTGCTCAACTTTGTGGTACCTCATGCATGTGAGATGAGAACATCTAATTCCATAATTCTCAGGAATATTGGCCTGGGTATATAAAGTGCCATGAGATCCTCAGAAGAAAGGACTAATTTTAAGTCCAGAGAGTTGACATTTACTTGTTTTTCCCCAATCTGCTGTTTCTTAGAATTCCAAATCTAAAGGGATGGGATGGTGCAGACAACTGGCAATATCATTGTCATAACAGCGACATCATGGCACAGGCAGCCCCAGCTCATAAGGCAGTAGGAAGCACACGAGTTGGTATATAAAAAAGGACTGGCAGCACAATGCAGTGTGTGGATGCCAGATTCATTGCTCACTGAAAGCTGC